GCAGAACCCCGCCGCTTTTGTCGCCAGCCGCTAGTCTGTGGCGAGACTTGTCATGAATATCACCCCCTTGCAGTCCAGCAGCTGAGCTGCTGCTGCTGAGCTGCTGCGCTAGTGCAGGGATTGCCAAGATCAAGATCGACCCAGTGACGTCAGTACAGCCAGGGCAGGGAGGGCGGGAGGGCAAGGGCGATGCTGCTAGTGTACTCCGGACTATGTACTAGTACTAATTGACTAGTACTACTAGTAATGACTACCTGCCACCTTTCTTGATGAAGTTATTGTTGTTCTTATTAGTACAGTGTGTTTTTTGTTTTGTTATTGTTTTTCTCCTTTTGAATTGAGTTTATTGATAGAAATTCGACGAGGAGACAATAATTTAATATGGCAATAAGTAGGACGAGCTGAAGCGACATGTGGACTACTTTATTAACAATATAAGCGATGGAGACGATGCTAGATGTCTGTGCATAGCTGTTGTTCTACGCCAACTTACTCTTGCTGGTACCAAAGTACTATATTGCGAATTTCGTGGACGAACAACTCTAGTCACTAGTGGCTACTGAGCAACACTACTAGGTGAGATTTTTCAATTTGACAAAAATTGTTTTCGTTTGAGAACTGACAGTGGTAGTCATTAGACTCAGTAGGTGTCTCTCTGCTGCTTCTTTCCCTTCATCGGTAGGGTTGTGCTTGAAGTAAAAATAAATAGAAAATGTGGAACAAAAATCTGATCATGTAGTTCGAATTTCAACTTCAAAGTATGTGTACATCAAATCACAAAATTTTCAAGGTGGTGCTGTGCATTGAAAAAGACTGGGAGCTGGCAGCAATGGAAAGGGTAGAAACGAAACCAGTAATGTAGAGTATTCATAAGGTAGAGGGAGCTGAAAACGGGAGAAGAGTAGTGAGCATTTCAGTTCGAAGTAGTGTCAATAGACAGCATTGTGTTGCATACGTTGTGAATATTGTGTGAATCTAATAATTGGCGGAGGGTAGTGATTAAGTAGAGCATTGTTACAATACAAGGTACTTTGTGAGCAGATAGAAATCAATATCACGGCATGGTTTAGACAGAAACCCATAAATGTCACGAAATTGCTAATCCAAAATTATAATATCCCCTGAGTAGTATTTTTTATTATGGTGTTCTCCTGTGTTTACATGCAGAGCCTTGACGTTGCTGGACGAACGACAATATAAATTACATAAAAATGTAGCTCATGATGTGGAATGACTGCCGTATCGCATTGCCAACGCAAACCCATCCTGTGTCAGTGCAGCCATCCAGCAACTTCAATTCCCCGGACCAGATGCCGCTGCAGCTGAACACCATGCCGATGGAAAGCCAGGAGTTGATAGCGAAGCATTCTGGTCTGCACAGTACAAGGCAAAGAACAATTATGAATTATAACGCATTGTAATCCTTCCCACACTTCTTTGTAAAAACAAACAAACAGTGCCATTATCACAACACTTGATCAAGCATCTTGATGGAGGTATTTTCCATTGTGCTGGCCCCGCATCTGCACCAGGAAGACCATGTACACTTACACGTATCTTGTGTGTGTTCGTGCGTGTGTGTTTGTGTATTCGTCTGTGCACACGTGTGTGTGTGAGGGTGTGGGTCATACGCACATGTGTATGGGTAGGAGTGTGTGTGTGTGTGTGTCGGGGGAGGGGGGGGGTACATGCACATGTGTATGGATGTGCGCGCTGCACGCACGTGTCTGTGGGATGGGGTGGGGGTGCACTCACATGTGTCCATGTGTGTATGTGTCCATGTGTGTATGTGTTCGTTGAACACATGGTGTCCTCCTGATTCCATACACTTTGTGATCATTGTGATTTCATGTGCTTTGAAGTTGAAATTCGCAATACATGTACTGAAGCTTGATTAGATTTATGTTCCACATGTTCTATTTATTTTATTTTACTTCAAACACTTGTACTATTCAAGCACAACCCTACGAATGAAGGGAAATAAGCAGCAAAGAGACCTACTGAGTCAAATGACTGCCACTGTCAGTTCTCAAACAAAAACAATTTTTGTCAAATTGAAAAATCTCACCTGTTAGTGTTGCTCATTAGCCACTAGTGACTAGAGAGTTGTTCGTCCACGAAATTTGCAATATGCCACTACGGTATCAGCAAGAGTAGGTAAGTTGGCGTAGAACAACAGCTATGCACAGCCATGTTCATCTCCTCTTCACTTTGGAAGGCAGTACAAGCACCCTTCATACCTCGACATTGCCTTGGAGTGGAAGCAAATTCACCATGAGTTTTCCAATTTGCTACAATCGATCTTGGGGTGATGATCGTGTCTTCTTGATCACCACTGCAGCCTGGACAGCCTTCGGGTAGACATGTGTCACTCTCCTGCTCAACAGATTCCTACATCTAGATTTGCACAAAGGCACACAATGAAAACCTTGGCAAATTTATTCCGTTGTTAGATTTGGTTACCGTCAGTTAACGAAATAGAGCTGCAAAACACCAAAGTAATAATTATTGTTTTCTTCCAATCAATTACACTGCTGAGCATGCACAGCATGGTGACAGCTAAGCAGTACGCACGTCATCAAGCCCAAATATGGAAGGTGTTATTTATGAAATTTGACACGGTTCCTCTTCTCTGATCGGCTCGAGACATAGCTTATCGGAATCAGTGCCCAATTCCCCTTCGGATAAGCCATACTTATTTTTGGCGTTCAGTTTCCCTTTAACGGTGCTGCCTGGATGGTGTTTGCAGATGTGGGTTGGCTCTTTGTTTTGGTATTTCCTAGTTGACTTGATTCTTTTTTTCTATTTTCTGATTGGATTTTCCTATTTATTTGATTTTTTCTATTTACTTGACTGGATTTTTCACCATTGCTTTATTTGCTTGCGCTCTTCGAATTCTTCATCCCGTGCATCACCAAATTTGTTTTCAAATAAGGGCAAACTTTTAAGTGCAGTCGGCGCTAAAACAATCCGGCCAATGCCATGGCATGGATACATGTACCAGATCTGTGATGTACAGTGTCATGGTGCCTGTCGCATGCATGCGTCAGTAGTCTGAAGGGTGTCCACCAGGGAGTAGTAAAATACAGGGAGGGGACACGCCACTAATCGTGATTTTCGATGGGTGCCTTGTGCTAGTTTTTTTATTTCGCAAAAAAAGATGATCTGCTGAATCAATCTTGAGTATTTGTCGAAAAACTAATTCCGTGAATAGGTCTATCCATCTCATGGAACAGCATTTGTTTTGCTCTTGTGATGCATCTGTGCCATCGTCATATGGAAAGGTACCACCCTTCCAAAATTCGTCCCAATCGACGGCATGGAGCAATAGAACGAAGGTGATTTCCTTGAGAACAATACGTGTACGATTGGAGATGAAAAGCGAGTGCACCGATTTCCAAGTCGAAAAATCTCTAGGACACCACACGATCGGCACTAATTTCTTCTCAGTTGTGATCAACCAGTACTTCTCTACCTTCTTTGCGATGATGAGCATTTCATATTATGGTATGTTAGAGATTCGGGAGTTCACTTTTAGGAAGGAAATGTTCCTAAGTTTGTCAAGGATTGAAATGCGGGCTACGTCGTCGTAAACAGCTTGTATCGACACAGGAAAAATCCACGGCACGCAGGGATATCTCCCAAAGTGATACCACTCTTGCTGGACTTCTATCCTGACATAGTGGTAGTTTGGTCGACTACCAAACTTTGTGAAGGCAGACAATTGATTATAATTGTTGGAAATTCTCAGCGTGGAGTTTCTACGGGCTGCAGTAGGAGTCTCTTTGGCGGTAGGAATTTTTCTACTCCCTGATCGAGAGAATCCTGATCCGCGCGCGTGTCTACACACTTCGGGACCCATAGCACAGTGGGTTGGTCAAAGACCATGATTGAGATACGAGAGGTACCTGGTTCAAGTCCTGCCTGGGAGCGGTTTTTCCAGCCGTGCTGCTACCCACAGTCAACTGGGAACTTGTGGCCAGGCACAAGAGGTACATGGATGCAGCTAATGGGGTCGTTTTCGGCACTTGTGCCAGTGGTTGTGGGACTTATCCACTCACCCCCACCGTTAGGCGCTGCATCTGCCGCTAGGGTTTATCGGGTGTTAGGGGCCGTCGTGAGTTCCCTTTGGGAACGGACACGATAATTTGCTCTTACTCTTAGTACCCCAATCTCACCCGCCGGGTGAAAACGGTGCTGAGGCAATCGTCAAACTAGCCGTACAAGCTCGTGACACCTCCCTGTAATTTACTACTCCCTGGTGTCCACAGTAGCAGCGCCATGCATGAGCACAGGGGTGAAAACAGACCGCGCTGCACTCTGCCTGCTGAGTCTAGCAGAGCACCGAATGTGCAGAGTGCAGACCCTGCAGCAGCAGACCATGTACCATACACTAGGCTAATAATTATAGACTAGTGTAGTAGTAGTACTAGTAGTAGAGTACTAGCACTAGAACTAACTAATACACTGTAATAATATTATTACTTGTAGAAGTAGAAGTGGGAGTGCGTGCGGCCACATACAGCTACTGGTAGCTAGCACAGCATTCGCCGAATTTTTTTGACGACGACTGCTTAACTTCATTGACTGAGTACTCAACTGTCTAGTAGTGAAGTGACGCCATACTCCCATAGGCGTATAATATCTGCTTTCTTGCTCGTTACAATTACAAAGCGGAGGACGCACTGTGAACCAGTGCTCCTATTTTCTTGACTACAAGCTGCATCGGTTGACTGAGCCAGCCCTAGGCCTAGGTCTTGCGATCATCTGTCAGGAGCACCGTTTTCAATACAGTGCGTCCCCCGCCTTGTAACACACTGTCAGCCGATCAACATGCATGCTAGAACCAAACGCACAGGTAAGCAAACACATAACATACGGAAATACCTGGAAATGAGGTTTTATATGCGGTTGGAATATGACAAAGAATAGAGATGTTGCGCACATCACACCACACGGCTGCTTGAAGACACACGCACCCACACACTATCAGAGTGTTATCAGCCTCCAGCTCGCTGCCAGCGTTCTATCATGGCGTACCTCTGTGTCCATTCTTTGGCTTTCCTTTCATACAAGTCGGGACTTGTTGTGAACATCGCTGCATCTTCATCATCCGGGTGCGCGGCGCACGAAAACGGATCACTCAACATTTTAAAGATGGATTTGAGGATACGCCTTACTCCATAAACGAACCAGAATCCTTTGTCGAACGGTAACCCATTCAGTATACAGTAGGTACATGCACGACCATCTGTATTCACTATCGGGTGCAGGGTTTTCGTTTTGAAGACTATTTTGGGATCGTTCAACGGAAAGTCGTTTGGAAACATCACGGTTAGATGAAAAAGCCCACCTTCATACGGAGTTCCTGCTGGTCCAGATATGCTTGCCGTCCAGTGAAGGAAATCGTCAGTTACCGGTGCAGCATAGATATCAGGCAGTGGATTACGCTCCAGAACCCTTGCATCGGCTTCGAGGAAAGCTCTTGCCTCGGCTTTAAGGAAAGCCCTTGACTCGGCTTCGCGGAAAGCCCTTGCCGCGGCTTCGAGGAAAGCCTTTGCCATGGCCTGCAACTCTGCCAGTTCGGCAAGGCTCTTCTCAGCCATCCTGGGCTCAACTTGATGACGAGATCGCTGTCTGACTCAAGATAAACTGCTGACTGCTGGTGATCTGTCACGATTCTAGGCGCCAGGCCAAATCCCTACAAGTAGCAATTCTGCTAGTTTAACTGTTATCAACAGAAATGGTCTACACTGTTACAGTGTAATATGCAACACCAGAGCATAGAGCAGCTGCAGAACAATTATAAATTTAATCGCAAAACAGGGAAGAACTGTACTGCAAATGCATAAATCGGCGAGTTTTAAAGCGTTCTATTTGATTGGTTTGTGCTCTGGGCGTCTGGAGTTGGACATGTTGTTGTAGATGCACGGTCTCACGGTCTTTCTGCCTGGGTTCAAGTACCATAGATTAGAACTCGCTTATTGCCGACAAGTAGCCTAAGTGCGTCCAGCACTTCCAAACACCGTATACGCGTACGTCGCACGTGTAAACTGCGGATGAAAAAGGGGTACACGTGCAGAGTCCGTGCGCCTGCACTATTCAGTCACGTCACGAACTGTACATAGGCATTGAGCACCCACGCAGCTCCGGCTGATACTTAGTAGCAATAGTATGATACTACAAACCATCAACATCCTCTTGAGCTACATGTATATGGGGAGTGTAGTGGGAAAACTACACATTGCACCATTTAATGTGGAAGAAATATCAGCTACAAGCTATTGTTGCTAACACAGCCAGCTACTGACTCTGTAGCTGGATATTATCGGCTATGAATCTAGTGGGCACTTTAGCGAACAGATGGTGGTGAGAGAAGAAGCGCTGTTTGCCAGACTTTGGCTGAGCGCGGAGTGGAACATGCGCTAGGTGTGTATATACTACGCTACTGACAGGCGCTAAGCAACACGTGATCTGGCCAGTGTTGGGGACATTCGCCCACTACATGACATCACAGATTTGGGCAGAACCCCGCCGCTTTTGTCGCAAGGCGCTAGTCTATGGCGAGACTTGTCATGAATATCACCCCCTTGCAGTCCAGCAGCTGAGCTGCTGCTGAGCTGCTGCGCTGGTGCAGGGATTGCCGAGATCAAGATCGACCCAGTGACATCAGTACAGCCAGGGCAGGGAGGGCGGGAGGGCAAGGGCGATGCTGCTAGTGTACTCCTGACTATGTACTAGTACTAATTGACTAGTACTACTAGTAATGACTACCTGCCACCTTTATTGATGAAGTTATTGTTGTTCTTATTAATTAGTGCAGTGTTTTTTGTTTTGTTATTGTTTTTCTCCTTTTGAATTGAGTTTATTGATAGAAATTCGACGAGGAGACAATAAATTTAATATGGCAATAAGTAGGACGAGCTGAAGCGACATGTGAACTACTTTATTAACAATGTAAGCGATGGAGACGATGCAAGAGACAACCTAAAGGGTAAGGAAAAATACATGTAAGAAGAAAACGGCAATGGAAAAAAAGATGATTCGAACAAGTTTTCGTACAACACTCTTCAGGAATCACCGTTGTACTAAAGAACAAAATGAGAACAAAGGAAATAATATAGCAATCAAGGTAGGGTGACACGATACAATGACAGCACTGGAATATCGAGGTGCGATTTCTCACAAAAGTGTGCAGAAAACAAGGGTATACAAGAAAGAACTAAGCGTGCAAGTGTGTATCAGCAACAAAAATAAAAAAAAGTGAGAACGAATGATAATAATAACAATATTAAACAAGAAGGTGACAAAACACATTTAGGCACAAGTGGCAACGTTGCCACACTACACAAAAGAACATTATTTGAACAATTTTAGGGTGATAACACTATCTTTCTGGACACACAAATTCGGCTTATGAATGCGCTGACAAACAGCTTCCAAAACTTGTAACTACAAAAAATAACCATGACGAGCACGGCACAAAAGAGAAAAACAGGAATCAGAATAAGTACGACAACAGTCAGTACTAGAAACCAAATGATTGTATACTGAAGACTTGTTATTACGAGACGGACGCACACAATCTCGACTCACGCGCACACCCTCACACTCACTCTCACCCTCACTCAGCTCACCTTCTCCCTCACTGTCCGAATCAGAACCTGCTCCGTCATCCACAGCGGTTTGACTCTCCTCCTCACTTGCATCGTCCTGCGTCTCACCTTCACCACCCACGCCAACCGTGAATGCCGTTGCCTTCATGTCAGTCGTCGTCCTTTCCGATTGTTTCCTTTGTATATTTACCGTGAATTCATAGGTCCGGTTGTAATCTGCTGTAGATCTCCGTGGTCTGTCATTCTCAGCTGGATTCAACAGAAAGGCCAACAACCATGGCTGCAACAACAACACCAGCTTCACATCCAACAACAACACCAGTTACACATCCAACAACAACAACAACTAATCCACAAAACAAAGCAGCCAGAGCGCTGAGTAGAACATGCGCTAGGTCAGGTGTACACTACAACTCTACTGACAGGCGCGGCCAAGCAACACGTGATCTGGCCAGTATTGGGACATTCGCCTACTACATGACATCACAGATTTGGGCAGAACCCCGCCGCTTTTGTCGCAAGGCGCTAGTCTGTGCATGTGGTGAGAGTAATCATGATTAGCTCTCCAGCTAGCAGTCCAGCTGCCGAGCTGCTGAGTCAGTGCTGACCTGCTGAGCTGGTGCATGCAGCGAATGCGAAGATCAAGGTCGACCCAGCTCAGTACAGCCAATACAGCCGGGGTAGGGACGGCGGGGGGGGGGGGACCGGCCAATGCTGCTTCGTGTACTCTTGACTAGTCCTGTGTCACTCTATGACTAGTGTGAGTGTTGCCTTGGTTGACGTACATGACTGTATCTTGTATACATCATCATGTAGTGCGTCACGCTGGCATGATTCGTGCCACAATCGTGTGCTTCTCAACTCTCTCTCTCTCTCTCTCTCTCTCTCTCTCCTCTCTCTCTCTCTCTCTCTTTCTCTCTCTCTCTCTCTCTTTCTCTCTTTCTCTCTCTCTCTCTCTCTCTCTCTCTCTCTCTCTCTCTCTCTCTCTCTCTCTCTCTCTCTCTCTCTCTCTCTCTCTCTCTCTCTCTCTCTCTCTCTCTCTCTCTATCTCTCTCTCTCTCTCTCGCTCTCTCTCTCGCTCTCGCTCTCTCTCGCTCTCTCTCGCTCTCTCTCTCTCTCTCGCTCTCTCTCTGTGTTTTTGGTGCGCAAATACATCTCTGGCGTTGATTGCGTTCTTGCTTAGACTTCTGCCGCACCTTTGTTCTCGTACTCACCAAATTATACTTATGTTGTGCAAACACTCCTTCTAGTCTGTCTCATTTTTCTCCGACATGTTTTGATGCATAGTGATTATGACGCTCATCATTCGCTCCCTTGTCACTGGACAGTTCTGTCCGTTTGGTTTTAGCAAATGCAAATAAAGGAACCAACAATAACAACAACTTCTATAGAGACCATGCTTAAGCAGTCAACGGAATTCCGCCGCCTTGCAGTTGATTTTCCCCATTTCTCTCCTCATCAATCCCTACTTGTCTTCGTACATACATCTAGATCTGCTGTTCTTTCATATGCCCCCCTCTAAGCGGTCAACTCGTGGAACTACAACAAACAATATGTCAATTTGCTTGTATAAATCCATGGTAGGGTACAATTCCTTTTCCTCCAGAGCATCCCTTATGTGAAATGCCCTCCCTGCTCACTTGAAAGGAAGTGAGGACATTAGATCATTTTCTACAGAACTTTTGCACGCTCTAAATGACCACAAATTGACTATATCCCTATATCCCCACCTTTATGAAAATGTATTTCACCAATAAAATAAGGCTTGGAATTTTTTAATGGTTCATGAATCCGCCCAGTCCACATTCCTTCTTCGTTTCTCTCAGTTTTCCTTTCCTTTCAGTTGCATCTTCCTCTCTGCTCTGTTTTATTTTCTCTTTTCGTTCGTCCCTCTTGATATTTGTACTTTGTACTGTTGAGGTAACGAACTGAAATAATAAAAACAAACAAACAAACAATCAAATGAACCCCTCGATAGGCACATTGCCTTTGGGTCATTTCATATTAATACTTTGAAGTGATAATAATAATAGTCACTCAGCGCTCCTAGAACCACTTAGTGTAGCTCTAGTGTCTAGCCGGTGCAACTGTCATAATTATACAATGACGTCATGTACATAGTGCAATGATGTACTTGTCGAAATGTCTTGTGCTTGAGAATTTCGCCTATAACAGCACTGGAGGCACAATACACTCGTTTCTCGCCAGGGTGATGTGCTGGTTGTCTGAATGTCTCGTGCTTTATTCTTTCTTGTAGATCCCTCAAGCTCTTGTGTCTGGTCGGTTGAACTGTCATAATTATACAATGACGTAGTGTACATAGTGCAATGACGTAGTGTACATAGTGCAATGACGTAGTGTACATAGTGCAATGACGTAGTGTACATAGTGCAATGATGTACTTGTCGAAATGTTGTTACAGTAACAGGAGCACAGCTGGGAAGGACGTTGGCGTAGGTTCATGCATGTCGATGACGATATTGAATTATTTGTTCTAATAATGATATTGGCAAGACCATTGGAAAATACTGTCAAACCACGATTCCAGGACGCAAAGCAACATTCCACACAACTTGTGTGCCTCAAAGATTCGAAGATCAATAAAAGGAGAAACAAAAAAAGAAGAATAAAAAGAGCGTTACTTACGAAGAGCCTTGTTGAACACGGAAAGTGTCTCAGCAAGTCGAGTACAATAGAAAAGGGAGAGCCAAAATCGATATGCCATAAACACAGGTGAGTTGGGAAACAAGGATGAACGAGAAGCAGGCAATCATACTTGATTCCGAGCAGGACTATCACCGTGGAACCAGTCATTCTTTTCCAAGTGTTTGGGTATACTACCTCTAAGTCCTCAGACAAGCGAACCTTTGCGCGTTTTTGTGTTTTTGTGTTGGTACCGCAACTTACTTCAGGAGGCTGCGAGGTACGCCCTATTTGTAGCACGATTCAACAGGGTTTCAGGGAGCCTACCGACGAGATGGTGAGTGGCACCTGTCTCAGAGGTAGGTTTGTACCAACACAATGGTGCGCGCTTCCATTTTGAGAAGGAGATTCGTCATGCTTTCATAATGTCAATGCAAGCCAAGGAGTCTCTCTCTCTCCACATGATCACGCAGCCAGCACACAGTCCTGACGTCTAAGAAAACTACCGGTCTTCTTTAGAAAGCCTCCAGAGAGATGCGTCTCTGATGGCTAAGGAAATTCGCCAGGAATAGTTACCGGCATTTTTGGGACTGTTGGCGAGAAAACTCAGGAAAAGGGTTGGGAGTGCAGGTGTGTGTGGAGGTGTTCCACAGTTCTTACCACAACATCCTGGAGAGTGGTGGCGGAAATGACTGCCCTCGACATCGTGACTCGAGAACAGCACACAGGCGCGACATCGAGATTTCCAGAGCGATCACAGCAGAGGCACTTGGGCTGTAACTGAATCCGCTCCCCTTTAGAACGGGGTTATTCCCAACACAAGTTCGGCCAATCCGCTCGACTAATCTAGTCGCATTTTCGTCTCACTACAGGAACAACTCGTCTCCACAAGAAGCTGTGATCTCTGAATCAGACGAGAATGATTCAGAATAACTGGTGTCTCTAATGATCACGTTCTTCTGGAGCAATACAAAGTTAGTTGTATTTTGGTGAGTAATGCAATATTTTCGAATGTATTGGAAGTGTGAGTTATTTTGAGTAATTTGAAGTAAAACTGGACTGTGCAATTTGTGGGGATGCTCAGCTGGAGACGTTTTTGAAGCACGAAATCATAATATTCGATGAGCTTCGAAGGTTCGTCTTTGGGCCTTTCACTTTCATGCTTTTCTTTCTTGCGGCATTAAACGTTTGATTTTTCGAAGCCTTTCAGGTCGTTCTTGAGTCCGTTCGAGGTTTCACAGGTAAAGGGAAAGGTGGTGATCCTTTGATTCAGATAAAATAGACTCGCTGATATCAAAAAGCTCATGATACCTGATTGTTCGTCTTGAAAGCCCTCAGAGTCACTACACATTCAGTACCTACCGATCCATCTTCCACACAAACACAAACCAAGCTCACTTCGAAGTGCTTTCGTTTCTTCCCGAACCATTTCCAGAGGTGTTTGGATCCCGAAATAACGTGTTCA